GCAAGAATACTGGAGTGGGTTGCCATTTCCTTCTCCAGTTTCCTCTTACATGACTAGGGAAATTCCTCCTAAGGAGTAGGTCGTGAAGTTTTTAGTATTTCAGAGCTCATAGAAAATCACCTGGCACAAAACATTTGCTCAATTCATTGCAGCTATTATGACTGTGGTGTAGAAGACTCTTGAGATTCCCTTGGACAGCAAGGTGATCAAACCTGTCAATTCTAAAGGAAATCAATCCTGAATATTCATTGGAAGGACTGAAGGTGAAGCTAAAACTCCAATACTTTGGCCACCTGATTCGAAGAACTGACTCACTGGAAAAGACCCTGATGTTGGGCAAGATTGAAGGTAGGAGGAGAAGGAGATGACAGAGGATGAGGTGGTTTGATGGCATCACCGACTTGATGGACATGAGTTTTAGTAAGCTCTGGGAGTTGGTGATGGACAGGGAGGTCTGGCATGCTGCAGTCCATGAGGTCACAAAGAGTCAGACTCTACTGTGTGACTGAACTGAACTGAATATATTCTAATTTTACTGGAACCACTTTATGCCTCCAAATCAAATTTTACCCACTTAATTCCATTCTCATCACTTAATTGTCAAGAATGATCTCTGTATTGCTAAGTCTAAAAGACATGTATATTTTTAGCATATAAATAATGTACTTACAAATTAGTTGACCAACACACATGTCCAAGTCTTGGCTCTGAGCTATGCTTATTACAATCTCTTAATGACTTTCAGGTAAAATTTCTCAGCTTATAGTCTCTCTGAATCTTTCCTGAAGGAGCTGTGTAATCCCAGGCTCATGTGGACATGTACTCTGATAGGAAGGTCTCTGGAAGTCTGAATTCCTCCCTGCATGGTTGAAGACGGAGTCTGTAGCTATGTTCTCAGAGAAGACTGCAGTAAAGAGTGAAGTGCCAGTTCCTTTACAGACACAGGACTCCAACACAACAAGTATGTCTCTTTCAACTCAAGGATGTAGAAGCTGAGGGACTGCAGGAGATATTTATGGATGCCTAGATCTGGTCATTAGGGACGATTCCCTCTTGTTACTCCAGCCTCAAGCATGTGATTTCCCCCCGTGCACTGGTCTAGACAGAAGTTCCTCTTAATGATTCTCTGTTCCCAAGAGACTAGGTCACACATCAGGTGAATACTATTAATATTAATCCTTCTCCATGAATTCTTGTCCCATCTAGATGTATAACCTCCTAGTACCTTATTCCACCATGAGTCCACATTTTCTCAAAAATCTAAGACTGAGGAACATGTCTTGATTAGGTCCTTTGGATCTTCAAAGCATTAATTTGTGGTGACAACACAAATAGGTGGAGTCCTAACATCTCCAGAAAATTGCTGTTACCCTTTTAACAAAGCAAAGAAGTGGGCTCTTTTAATATGAAACTTTGAATACTACACCTTTTGGCCTCATGAAACTTTTGCTTAAACAAGTAGGATTTTTACACTTGTATCACAAATTAAGTAAGTAAAATTAGAGCTGTCATTTAGTCCCTCATCAAAAAAAAAAAAGTTTGTTAGTTTTAACAGATACATTTAGATCACTTTTTAAGATATATAACTTGTATTTGCAGATTGTATTTAATCTTTATGAAAGTTCATTCTATGATGTTGTACTACATGTATTCCACTGAAGAAACTGGACTTGGAGGAATTTAGTGATATAAGATATCACTTATATCTTGCCCAAGATATAAATTGAGTGAGGGATGGGAACCTTGATTGGAATTCTATCAGGATATTCTCAGTTCCCTTTGGGCCACTGGTTTCCAACAAGAGATCATTTTGCCCGTGGGGAATATTTAGTGATATCTGAAAAAGTGCTGCTAAACACCCACAATGTGTGGGATAGAACAGAAAACAAATAACTATCATGCCCTAAGGTTAACAGGCAGAAGATGAGAATACCTATTTTAGTCCAATGCTTTTCCAAAGTCATTGTACATAAGAATCCCCTATGATTGTAGTTATAATACAGATTCTGACTCAATAGGTACTGGTCGGCCCTGAGATGCTGAATTTCTAACAAGCTTCTGGGTGATGATAATGTATTCAGGATTTGGTCTGAGGACCATTCTTTGGGTAGTAAGTTTGTGATCCTTTGTTAGAGTCTAGAGTAAATAGTTTTAAGCCTTTTGCACCTAAAAAAGGCCTTTGTATGTAATTTTGAAAGAATGATATTTACTCATTCCAGAGGCCATGATAAATTTTGGTGGTGTTTCTTTTATATAAGGGCATTTAAGTGACTCCAAATACTATACTTCTGAAAGATACTTTTTAATAATCAGAATAAGAGCCACCAAAGAATGGCCACATCCTAATCCCCAGACCCTTAGAATATATTATTTTATATAAGGAAGGGAATTGAGTTGGTAGAGAGAGGAAGGTTGCTAATCAGCTGACCTACATATAATAAGATTGACCATGATTTTTTTTAAAGAAACTTTTAATTAGAATACAATTACTTTACAGTGTAATTAGTTTCTGTATTGTATTGTTGTACTGAAACTAAACTGTATTAGTTTCTGCCATGCAACAAGTGAATCAGCCGTAAGTATATATACGTCCCTTGCTCTTGAGTTTCCCTCTCAACCTCTCCCTGTAAGTCTTCACAGAGCATCCAGCTGAGCTCCCTGTGCTAAACGGCAACTTCCTGCTTTTGTTGTTCAGTCAATCAGTCGTGTCCAACTCTTTGCCACCCCATGGACTGCAGCATGCACGTCAGACTTCCCTGTCCTCCACTATCTCCTGGAGCTTGCTCAAACTCATGTCCATCGCCTTGGTGATGCCATTCAACCATCTCATCCTCTGTCACTCCCTTCTCTTCCTGCCCTCAATCTTTCCCATCATCAGGGTCTTTTCCAGGTGTCCCTATATTATGTTACGTGTGTGTGTGTTGTGCTAGGTCACTTCAGTAGTGTCCAACATTGTGAGACCCTACAGACTGTAGCCTGCCAGGCTTCTCTGTCCATGGGGTTCTCCAGGCAAGAATACTGGAATGGGTAGCCCATGCCTTCCTCCAGGGAATTTTCCCAACCCAGAGATTAAATCCACGACTCTTACATCTCCTGCACTGGCAGTCAGGTTCTTTAGCACTAGCACCACGTGGGAAGCCTGTATTAAGCACCTACATGTTAGCAACTATTATGTACTTTTCTTGTATTGATGATTTTAATTTATATAATGTACTTATCTTTAGTTTTGACTTTTTTTCTTTTATCTTTTTTTAGTTTCTATTTCTTTTTTTTTTTTCTTACAAACCCTTGTGTCAAAAATAGGTCGCAGGAAGGGAGTTGCTCTGCTACAAAAGAAACCTCCACCCAGAAGCAGGTCGACTAGGAATGGTTTAGCACCAGGTTCCGCATGAATGTGCGGTGCGTGTCAGGCGAGGGGGCGGCCGCCTTTCTGGAGGCTCCCCATGTCCCAGGAAGAAGGGCTCTCTGCACTAGACCCCGGTCCAGTCCCGGGGCAGGGCACACCATGCCATGCCCCAAGGGTCGTGGGCGGTGGCCCACTGGTGGGGATGGCTGGGGACTGGCTATCCGAGGCTCCCGTGGCGCTGCCGACTTCAACCTGGGCGGAATTCTGACTTAGAGGCGTTCAGTCATAATCCCAGAGAGAGCAGCTTCGCCCCATTGGCTCCTCAGCCCAGCATATACACCAAGTTTTAGCCTTTGTTTTAAAGGCTATTTTTTTCCCCTAAGATAATGTTCTCCATATCTATTTCTTTTAATTTCCATATGCATGAAATATCTTTTCCATCTTTTTACTATCATTCTTTGTGTGAATTTAGCTCTGAAGTGAGTTTCTTATAAACAGCATATAGAAGATAGAAGAGTCTTTTTTTTTTTTTGACTCAATCAGCCACCCTATATCTTTAATTGAAACATTTAGCCCATTGGCATTTAAAATATTAATGATAAATATGTGCTTATTGACACTTTGTTATCCATTTTCCAGTATTTGTAGTTCTTTTGAAAATATTTGGCATAATATACATGTCATCTGGGGCTTCCCCAGTGGCTCAGTGGTAAAGAAGATGCCTGCAATACAGGAGACATGGGTTTGATGCCTGGGTTGGGAAGATCCCCTGGTGGAGGGCAGGGCAACCCACTCCAGTATATTCACCTGGAGAATCCATGGCTATGGTCCACAGGGTCACAAAGAGTGGGACACAGCTGAAGCAACTGAGCACACATGCACATGCATATATCATCTGAGATGAAATTATTCATAAGCAATCCATGTAGCACCATGAAATTAACCAGAATTTCAAAGTCTTTCTGTTCTTAGGCTAGGAAAAAAAAACTTTGTGAAAATAGGAAAGTGGATAACGGGGATAACTGTCTTTTCATCAGATCGAGGAGAAAGCTTCAAAAAGTGAGTGCACAGTTTATTTAAAGTGTGAAAGTCAAAGAAACAGAAATTCCAGGAAATGAATAGAAAAAGCAAGTTCAACATCCAGAGTCTAATCAAAGAATAGGAGTTTTTGTTCCAAAGCTTGAGCTTCTTCAAGGATGCTTCTTCAAACCCATAATTTCCCTTTTTATAACTGCCATGTGAATGACTCTTTTCAGAGCTCTTTTTATGTCTTTGTTTCTGAGACTGTAGATGAAGGGGTTCAGCATGGGTGTGACCACGGTGTACATCACAGAGGCTGTTGCACTTGAATGAGAGCTGTGGGGAGCAGCAGTGGAGCTAAGGTACACTCCTAGGCTTGAACAATAATATAAGGAGACAACTGAGAGGTGAGATGCACAGATGGAGACTGCTTTATATTTCCCCTGAGATAATGAGATTCCACGTACAGAGAATATTATCTTAGAGTAAGAGTACAGGATACCAGCCAGGGGACCACCACCCAACAGCACTGCTGTAAAATACATAATGGTATCATTAAGAAGTGTATCATCACAGGAAAGTTGGACAATCTGCTTGATTTCACGGAAAAAGTGAGGGATTTCCAAATCTGTACAGAAAGACAGCCGTAACACAAGTAAGGTTTCTAACAGGGAAAGCAGGGTATTAGTGATCCAGGATAGCAGAACCAAAAGTCTACAGAACTGAGGGTTCATGATGACTGTGTAGTGCAGGGGGTGGCAGATGGCCACATACTGGTCATACGCCATCACGGTCAGAAGAAAATCATCCAACACTGCAAAGAGCATGTAAAAATACATCTGACTGATGCAGCCTTCATAGGATATAGCTTTTCTCTGGCTCTGTATATTTATTAACATCTTTAGGATTGTTGTGGTGGTGAAACAGATGTCTACAAAGGACAGGTTGGAAAGGAAGAAGTACATGGGGGTGTGGAGGTGGGAATCTGAACTGACAGCCAAGATGATGAGCAGGTTTCCAAACCCAGTGATCAGGTACATTAAGAGGAAAAGCCCAAATATGAGGGGCTGTAGCTCTGGTTTCATTGATAATCCTTGAAGAAGAAATCCTGAATCTTGTGTATCATTTCCTGGTACCATGTTGTAGTGTTGATGACTAGGAATGAAAAAAATAATTGCGTGAATAATTTTTACCCAAATGGGCATTATTCATTTGAAAATGCTACAATTATATCTATATCTATCTCTACCTATCTATCTACCTATCTGTCTATCCATCCATCTTTTCATCTGTATTTTTAAAGAATCCTCACATTTAAAGGATGTTTTGTGACATCTCTGACTAGGAATTCTGTTAGAGAGAGAGGCATAGTACTGACCTAAGTGGAAAAAACAGATCTAAATTGCTAAGGTAGCCCCAGTTAGATTATAACGTGGAGAAAACTTTCAGATTTTCTCTCAAGGGATCATGCACTACACAGTTTTAATGAGAAATATTTTTATCCATTTGAGGAATATATGCTGAATACTAGCCATTTTTTAGGTTTAAAATTCTGAGAAAGAAAAGCCAAAAGAATAATGATAAAGAATATAAGCACATAAATATCTTATATCATGCCACATGGTGACAGATTCTATTAATAGTGTAAAAAAGTGTAAAAACAGTGGATGAGGGTGCTCTTTTTTTTTTAAACTGAGAGTTCAGAAAGGCCTAAAAATGGTGAAGATAAAGTTATACTAAATGTTGTTAAGATATAGCCATCTAAAATAGAGGAACTGACATATATAAAGCCAGTATGAGGAGACCTAAATGGAGAAACTGACAGCAGCACAATAATAGAGGAGGACTTTGACACCCCTTTTACATCATTGCATAGCTCATTGAGACAGAAATCAACAAGAAACAATAGCCTTATGTTTTCATTGGGCCAGATGGACATGATAGATTTGTACAAAACATTCCATCCAAATGCATCAGAATATACATTCTTCTCAAGGGCACATGGAACTTTCTCAAGAGTATTGTTTCCCATATGTTGGGAAACAATAGAGCCTCAATAAATTCAGATGACTGAAATTTCATCAGTCATTTTCTGATCATAATGGTATGAAACTACAAATTAACTATAGAAGAAAACTGAAAAAAATCACACATATATGCAGGCTAAACAACATGCTACTAAACAACTATTTGTCAGTTGAGAAATCAAAGGAGTCATTAAGAAAAATATCTGAAGACAAATAAAAATGAAAATGTGGCATGTCTAAATCTGTGAGATGAGCAAAAAAATGAGAGAGAAGTTTATAAGAACACAGACCTATCTCAAGATACAAGAATGCACTGAACAATCTAACTTTATATCTAAAGGAAGTAGAAAAAGAAGAAGGCACAGCTCAAATTCACTAGAAAGAATAATAAAAAATAGAGAAGAAATTAATGAAATAAAGACTATAAAAATGGGAATGATCAGTCATACTAACAGCTGATTCTTTGAAAAGACAAACAAAATTGGCAAACCTTTACTAGAGTCACTAAAAAAAAATAGAGAGGCAGAAGTCTTTGATTAATAAAATCAGAAATGAAGAAAGAGAAATAGCAATGAATACCAGAGAAATATAAAAGATTATGAACAGCTATAAGTCAACAAATTAGACAACCTAGAAATCATAAAAAGAATCTTAGAATTATATGACATTTCATGACTGAATCATGAAAGGATAGAACATTTGAACAGACCTATTATTTAGCAAAGATATTAAAACAGTAACAAAAAGCTCCCCCAAATCAAAAGTTCTGGACCAGACAGCTTCAGGGGTGAATTCTTTGAAACACTACCTATCCTCCCCAAACTTTTCCAAAAATTAAAAGAGAGAAAACCATCCTTAATAATTTCATGAGACCAAATTTACCCTGATTCCCAAACCAAGCTAGAACAACAACAAGAGTAAAAAAAATATAGTGAAATAGATCTAAAGAACATAGAGCAAAAAGCCTCAACAAAATATTAACAAGAGAATACAACAATACTTAAAAGGACCACACACCATAAAAAAGTGTAGTCAAGTGGTTTATGTTTCTGGAATGCAAGGATGTTTTAACATCTACAAATTAACATGGAAAATAGCAATAACATAATGAAGAATAAATAACATATGATCAGTTCAATAGATCCAGAAAAAGATGCTGATATTGAAAAAGAGTTCAAAAGATTCATAAAATTTTTAACCATATAAATTCTCAATAATGTGGGTATATAGGAAATTTACCTCAACATAATAAAACCCATATATGACAAACTCACTGCTAACATCATAATCAATGTTGAAAAACTAGATGCTATCTCTCTAAGATTAGGAACATGACAAAGGTACCCACTCTTCCTATTCTTATTCAATATAGTATTGGATTCCTAACCAGTGTAATGAGGCAAGAAAATACATAAAAGACATTTATTTTTTGCAGCTGGAAAGGAAGTAAATCTATCATAAATCGCAGTTGACAGAAATTTTGTGTAGGAAACTCTAAAGATCCCACTAAAAACTATTCGAAATAACAAATGAATACTATGAAGTTATAGGTATAAAATCAACATAAAAAACTACAATGTTTATATACAATAATGAGGAACTAGCAGGAAAAAAATAAACTCAAACACAAACCCACCTACAATTGCAACAAGATAATAAAAATTTAACTCCTAACAACAAAAAAAAATCAACTCAAAATGGGTTAAACTAATGAATGCAAAACCTGAGAAATCATAAAACTTCTAGAAGAAGACAAAGGCAATACATTCTTTTGCAATATATTGCTAGATACTTCTCCTAAGGCAGAAAAAAACAAAAATAATCTAATCGGATTACATTAATTAAAGATTTGCTCAGCAAGGGAAACCATGAATAAAATGAAAAGACAGCCTACTAAATGGGAGATAATCTTCACCAATAATGTATCAGATAAGGGATTCATATCCAATATTTATAAAGAACTCATATAAGTCAGCATTCAAACTACAAACAGCCTAATTCAAAAGTGGGCAGAAGAGCTAAATAGACTTTTCTCCAAAGAAGACATACAAATAACCAGCAGGCACATGAAAAGATGTCCAACCTCACTAATTATTAGTGAAATGCAAAGCAAAACCAAAATGTGATATCACCTCTGGCCCTTTAGGATGACTGTTATCAAAAAGTCTAGAAATAATGTGTTAAAGAGGATGAAGGCCATAGGTAACGCTTATGCACTGTTGGTAAGAATGTAAATTGGTGGAGCCACTATTGAAAAACAGTGTGGAAATTCCTCAAAATTTAAAAATAAAACCGACATATCATCCAAAAATTCCACTTCTGAATATTTTATCCACACTCCCTAAAAGTCCCACTAATTTGAAAAAAGGTATGCACACCAATGTTCATTGCAGTATTATTGAAAACAACTAAAATATGGAAGCAGCCATTTATAGATGAATGGATAAAGAAGATGTGGTAGGTGTCTACCATGGAATACTATTCAGTCAAAATAAGTCTTACCATTTTTGACAAATGTTCATCTAAACTAGGAGGTATGATGGAAGGAAATAACTCAGATGGAAGAAGACAAACACCATATGATTTCACTCAGGTGTGGAATAAAGTGTGTATATGTGTATATATGTGTATATAGTATATATATATATATATATATTATATATATATATAAATGAACACACCAAATAAAATAATAGCAAGCATTTAGATACGGAGAACACAGTAGCTGTCATAGGAAGCACTGGGGAAGACAAAATGGGTAAATAGTGACAACAGTGTAGTAAGGATGGAAACTGAACTTTTGGTGGTGAGCACACTGTAGTAAAAGTCAAAATATAATATACACATGAACCTTATGCAAAGTTTTAAACCAATGTTACCTCAGTAAATAAAAGAATGTAGAAATAATACCCAAATTCCAGTTGGTAAGCCTCCTGTGGATATGTAAACATGGAGATCCATATTTATATGACCATTTTGTGTCCTGTATTTAAGAAAACATAAACGTCAATTTAAAAACAGAGGAGAGACCTATACATCAGTGGGTGAAAAGATCTAGAATACTCATGTGGTTCCCGAGAAATTGTGATGAGAAAAAAATTTTTTATTGGTCCTGGCAATATTCAAACCCTAGTTATATCTCGTCAATGCCCAGAATACCTAATAAATCAGGAAAAACATACACACAATTTAGTCTCCAGAGAAACAAACAACATTTTACAATGTTATGACCCTTTACTGATTAAACATTCCATTACAGTAATGATCATAGGAAGTAAATTCTCAATTTAAAACAGAAAATATACAAGGTACAACAACCATTGTACATTTTAAAAACTGAAATAGTGAAATATTTTTTAAAAAATGATATGATACCATATGAAAAGACTCTGGGCACTTGAAAACTGAGTTTTGAATTTTGGATGTACCACATATTAGTTTTTTGTCATGGGTGGCCATGGAACCATTATAAATGCTAACATTCTCTTTTACATAGTAAGAGAGTGGTATACACTGTCTGGAGGTGCTCGACAGATTTATCCAATAAGTAAATAGAATAGTTCCTTCCTGTTAACAAATGAATATTTATCACTGCCAATGAGATAAAGTTGATTTTCTTCCCTACGTATCAAGTGTCACTGTTGCTTCCCCACCTCTCAGTAATGAAATAGTTGTAAAGTAGAGCTTGTTAGCATAACTCTTTTTCATATTAGGTACAATGTGTTATCCATATGGATATCCAATATGAGGGACATCTATGCAGACAAATATCCACCTCCCTTAGTCTGTTTCTAATCACAAACATACATGAACATGATACATGGACAAACATGAAAATAAAAGATGCAAAACATGAAAATATTTACAAAATATGCAACCAACCAAGGATTAGTCTCCAAAATTGAATAACTGTTCATGTGGCTCAATATCATAAAAACAAACTATCTAATCAAAAAAATGAGT